AAAACCCGTCCCCCCCCCCCCCTCCAAAAACCAGACTCCTGGGATCTGGGGCTTAGGGACCCTCCGGACGGGCCTCGAAGCGGCCCCCTGGGCCTCGCAGGACGTGGCGCGCTCCCAAAACCACCCCAGAGAGCCCCAATACTGTCGGCGACGACCCCCGAGAAGCCGTCATACCCCCAAAGATCGTCGCGAAACGTCCCAAGAAGGCCCCAAGAGGCAAACATAGTTGATTTTGTTGGTTTTTGGTTTATTTGGGGGTTCTCTTTTCGGCTTCCCGACCCTCCAAGACGGCGGTCTTCTGGGCGTCCGAAGCCGCCTGGGAGGCTCCAAAATCGCCGCACAACCATCCGAAAGGGCTTCCAGGGAGTCCAAGAAAGCCCCAAAACGGCACAACAGGGGTCCAAGATGGCCCTCAGAGAGCCCCATGGCGGCCCAAGATGGCCCCAAGACACCCTCCGAAACATTCCAGATCGTGACCCGGTCGTTCAGGGAGACCGCGGTTGGAGGCAGGGTGGCCCGAGGCAGCCCCCAGAGGCCCCCAGAACACGCCCAGGAGGCCTCCAGAAGGCCTGAAGAAAGCCTGAAACAACTTTTGTGAGGCCCCCAACGGCTCTCCAAGGAGGAGCCTCCGCAAAAAGAGCTGAGGAGGATGGGGAGAATGCGCAGGGCATGGCGAAACTGAGGAGAAAGAAGCATGGAGGAAGGAGAACGAATAACATTATTATAGCGGCGATGCCGGAAAAAGGAGTTATCGCTAAATTGTCGGCTTGACCTTCCTGCTAGTCCGCCTGCATACCAAACTTCAAGGACCAAGGTGCATGGCGCGAAGCGCCACTGCAGTCTTGTATCTCTCTCTCTCTATATGTATATATAGATATAGATCGAGCGCACAAGCCAGGCGTCCCCTCTTCAAGCTCCTCCTCACCTCCAGCCTCTTTCTCCTCCTTCCCCTACACATGCTCCCTCCTCCAACCTCCTTCTGTTCATTGCCCTTCTATTATCGATCCCCACTCCGTCTCCCACCCTTATCCGTCCCATTCCTCCTCTTCCTCCTCCTCCTCCTCCTCCTCCTGCTCGTCCTCCTCCTCCTCCTCTCCTCCTCCTCCTCCTCCTCCTCCTCCTCCTCCTCCTCTCTTTCGTCCTCCTCCTCCTCCTCCTCCTCCTCCTCCTCCTCCTCCTCCTCCTCTTACGCATCCCATGCATCCCAGCCTTTCGCCCTCCTTCCCTTTGGCTCAGCTCGCCTCGCCTGCTCTCGATCCCCTCCGCAGCTCCTCCTAGGCGGTTCGTCCCCTGAGGGCACGAGCACACACACACACACACACACACCTGTGCCTCGGCCCCGGATATTCAAGGGCGGAGGGGCGGAAGACCCGTGAACCCTCCCTCCCTCCGTGGCGCAGCCCCCCCCGCCCCCCCCCCCCCCCCCCAGCCCCTCCCCCTCCCCCTCCGTAGCCATTTTGGCTCATGCCATCCACCAGCGGATGACAGCCCTATAGCTCAAGCTCGCTAGGCACCATGTCTCGCGGTGTGAGAAGCGGGGGGGTCTCCGACGTGGAGGTGGCTGCGGGAGGCACCCCAGCCGGTGGCGCCCTTTCATCGTCACGTGCTTCACGGAGGTCGCGAGCTCGTGTTTCTGCTGATCGTCTCGTTCGCGATTCTCCGGCAAGGTGGACCAGCTCGCCGCGCAGGCGCAGCTGGCTGAGGAGGCGCTCACGCTCATCGTGGGGAACTCGGAGGTTGGGGCTTGGCTCGGGGCGGTAGTTCCTGCTGTCGTGGCCCTGGTCCGCGGCGAGGAGCCCCAGTGGCTCGACGTGTTCCGCCGCAACGTCGCGCCGCACGCCGACGCGGAGGACATCGATGTGGAGCACGCCTCGGCCACCCAACTCCGTCGGGCGCAGCATGGGCCCAGGCTGGAGGAGAGGAAGCGCTCCCCTTCCCGCCATGCCGCCCGTACGCGTGCTGAGGCGACTGGGCTTGACGGCCGTGGAGGTTTTCAATTTCGCTCTGAAGCTCCTGCCCTCGTTCCTGGTGCGGGCAGCTGGGCGAGGCTGGACGCCGCAGGCGCCAGGTGCACGTGCGGCGCTACTGTCTTTTCGTCCTGCCGCGCGGCCGTGCCGCCGCCATGCGAGAAGTGGGAGGCGCTGCTAGACCCCAACGTCATCAGCCACAACGTCGGGATCAGCACGTGCGTGAAGAGCGAGATGCGGGAAGCTAAGCTGGTACCTAACATCGTCGGTGCGGATTCTGTGGTGCTCTCGCCGACGAGCAAGCACATTACGGAGATCGAGGAGCAGCGACAACTGTGGGCGCGGGAGCGCCCTGGCCGTGTCGCCCAGCCGTTCGTCCAGCGCTTGGCGCGGCTGGCGGCCTCGATCGAGGAGCACGGCGCGGAGGCCAAGGATTGTGCCGCCACGGGAAAGTCCGTGGAGAAGGGCGGCCCTGCGGCCCAGCCTGCCTCTTCCCTTTTTGCAGCGGGGGCGCCAGTGGATCTGCCCCACGACCCTGGTGAAGGGTTTCTCTTTGGAGGCTTCGACGGCTTCGACTCCTGCTCGGAGTGCGACGTGTTCTGATTCCCGTACCTGGTGCAAAGCATCCCCCGGGTGCTGTACTTCGATATCTTCGTCCTGTTCCTCTTCTGAGCAGGAGTATCATGGGGTGGAGTGTGTGTGCAGCTGAGGCAGAGCCTCTGCCCTGCTGCCCTCAGGCTCGCCACTGTGCCCGCAGCTGTAGCGAGGAATTGCCGTCTGGCTCATGCGGTGATGCTGTTGATGTCAAAAAAAAAACTCCCCCTCCCCCTACCCGTCCCTCCCGCGCCGCACCCCTTCCCGCGCCCTCTCCTCAATGCGCCCCCCAACGCGTCTCTGCCCTCTGCCGGAGGCCGCATCGATCAGGCTGCGGCGATGGGGCTGGAGAACACGGGGCCGGAGAATCGCGCCGCATCGACGATGCGTGGACGGCGTCAGACTAAAAAACGTCGGAATGCAGCCACATGTTGGCGGCCTGGACTCATTCATTCGCTCTGCCTCCATCCCTTCCTCCCTGTATCTTCTCCTTCCTCGCTCCCCTCCCTCCCTGCATTTCCTCCTCCCCCTTCACCCCTCCCTCCTCTCCCTCCCCCCACGTCCTCCTCTCAGCAGAAAGGTGGGCGGCGCGGCCGAAGTCAGATAGGAGTCCTTCACCGGTTGGAGCTCCTCCTGCGAGCCGGCCAATTTTCCAGGAGTGTTGCGGGAATATGAAATTATGACTCGAGGTGTGGACGGCTTCGGTGTCGTTCCCGCCTCCCCTCCTCATCCTCCGTTCGTTTCCGCCTCGTCGTCATCCGCTTCCTCTTCATCACTCTCTTCACTCATCCCTGCCGTCCTCCCTTCATTCGCCTTCCTCACTACCGTCCTCATTCATCACTCTCTTCATCGCCTTCCTCCCTGACGTCCTCCTCCGCCTCCTTCTCACTCTCCTCGCCCTCCTCCTCCCTCAATCCCCCTAGAACTCCTCGCTCCTGCCGACCGGGCGACCCCGACGCAAACAGCGGGTGCAGGTGTGCCGGGCCGCACTGCGCGTAACCAACACAGCGCGCGACAGAGCACAGCTGACCCCATTGGCTGCGCTGCGCGGGGCCGTCCGAGGGCGTGCCGAGCGCGCCCCGCCCGAGGGCCCCCCAGAGGCACGGTGGCGAGGCGGGGCGGTGAGGCGCGCGAGACTCATGCACCAAACCGACTGCGGCCAACTGGCTGCGGCAGGGGTGCACGCGAGGCTCCGTGCTTGCCCGCGTGGGCCCCACACAGTGGGTCCCACTCCCCACTGTGCATTCTGTCTTGTGCCATCTGCCGGCTGCGGCCTGCCACTCGTGTGGTGAAGTCCATGCGGTGCAGGCTGTGCTGCGCGACCTGGGCCGTGTAATGTGTGCGGTCCTAGCTATTGGTGCAGGCGATAGCGTGCAATCGCAATCCATGCGGTGCAAGGTATGGCTTGGAACCTGAGCGGTGCAAGCTACGTCGTGCCAAACATGGGGGCGCAATCTCATTGGTGCACTCGCAAACTACGAGGTGCAGCCTAAACGACGGTGCAAGCAACATCGTTACATACATGGCCGATTCCGGAAAGCCCTAACCCAAAAACGGTTGCCATCCCTTGCGAGGTCGACTTCTGCTTCCGCTGGATTCCGCCGAGCTCCGCAGGCTTCCGTGGGCGGAGCCGCCGCCGTAGTCCTTTCGCCACCCTCCGCCGACCGTCCGCCGCGGAAGAGATTGCAACTCCTTCGATCCTCGAAGGCAAGGCCCTTTTTGGAACGCCCCACAGCTGCGTGGGCGCTACCCCTCGGTGGGGTCCAAGGAGGGGGGGCAAAGAGAGAGGAGGAGGAGGAGGAGGAGGAGGAGGAGGAGGAGGAGGAGGAGGAGGAGGCGGAGGAGGAGGAGGAGGAGGAGGAGGGAGGAGGAGGAGGAGGAGGAGAAGGAGGAGGAGGAGGAGAGAGAGGAGGAGGAGGAGGAGGATGAGGGATGAGGAGGGGGGGGAGGAGGGGGAGGAGGAGGAGGAAAAGGAGGAGGAGGAGGAGAGGAGGAGGAGGAGGAGGAGAGGAGGAGGAGGAAGAGGAGGAGAGGACGAGAAGGAGGAGGACGAGGAGGAGAGGAGGAAGACGAGGAGGAGGACGAGAAGGAGGAGGAGGAGGAGGAGGAGGAGGGGGAGGGAGAAGACGAGGAGGAGGAGCACAAGACGGAGGAGGACGAGGAGGAAGAGGAGGAGGAGGAGAAGGAGGAAGACGAGGAGGAGGAGGACGAGGAGGAAGAGGAGGAGGAGGAGGAGGAAGACGAGGAGGAGGAGGACGAGGAGGAGGAGGTACAGTCCGCTCTGTGCGCGGCACGCGACCTCACGCGCGGCGGCCGGCGCGAGGCGGGCACGGCTGGGCTTCGGGCGAAGACCATTTTGGAAGGCCCAGCCGGCGCACCACCAGCGGCCTCGAGGAGAGCACGAGCGGGCCACGGGCGAGAGCAACCCGAAGACCCAGCTCACGGAGCGGGCACGACCTCGGAGCGGGCACGAGGTGCAGACGGCGACGTCCGAGCCCCACCCCCACCGCGAGTGGAAGCCAGGAGGAGGCTACATTCGCGGGTGGATCAATCGAGGCTCTCTGGGGTCCGGCGGCTCTGGAGGATGTATCGGGCGCCGCGGCCTTCTCGGAGCGCTCCGGAACGCTTCGAGAACGGATGCATCCTCGTCCTGGCCCCGCCCGGCACCGACCATCCGTTCTCTCCTGATGGATCGACACGAGGCGGCGATGGGGTTCGGATTTCGCCACGTGCTCGGCAGACTCCGAGGCCCATCCCCGCCGCCATCGAGTTGCACGAATCGTGGATCGGCGAGAATGCGGTCTGGATCTCGCCGCCGAAAAATCGGGGGCGGCATGAGAAGAGGCGCCATCAAATCTGGGGAAATATCATGGCCCACGCCATGATATCCACCCCCCCCCTAGTCATCACCTCCCTCTCTTCCGCCCCCGAAAAAATGAGCACAGCAGGCGAGCACTGGGCGAAAGACCGGAAGACCAACCCTGATCCGTACGCCACAGGCGAAGGCCCCCTGGCGCACGCACAGAAGGGGACACACACACACATGGAACGGAGGCGCAATCACGGATGCGGGGAGGCAGCCGCCCAGCAGAACCTGCGGATGAGAACGAGGGGGCGCGGGGGGGAGTGCCTCCACGTGGGTCGCGCAAGCGCGGCCCCTCTGTGCGGCTCCTCCGAGCGCCCCCCCCCAAGCGCCCCCGAGTGCGGCCCTCATTTGGGCCCCCCGAGCGTGCGCGGGTCACCACACGTGGCCTCCATGCGTGGCCCCCCAAGTGTACCCCCGTGTGCCCGTGCCCTGCAGTGTGGTCTCCAGGTGTGACACTTCCAAGGAACTGTCCGAGGCGGCTGGGGTCGCGCAAAGAGAGAGAGAGAGAGAGAGAGAGAGAAAGAGAGAGAGAGAGAGGGAGAGAGAAAGAGAGGGAGAGAGAGAGAGAGAGAGAGACAGAATACATATATATATATAGAGAGAGAGAGAGAGAGAGAGAGACAAACAACAAAAACAACAAAAAAACAACAACAACAACAAAAAGAGATCGCCCGCGCTGCGGCCGCGGGCGGCGGGCGGCGGGCAACCGCGGGCGCGCCGCCGCGGCTCAGCGCCTCGGCCGCGGGCCGCGCTCCTCCGCGTGGGCCATCGCGGCGGCGTACGCGCTGGCCACGCGGGCTGGCCTCCTCGTCCGTGGGCCGCGCCCGCAGGCTGCCTCCAAGTGCGCCCCTCGAGGACCGCCCCTCTTTATCCAGCCAGGCACGACCAAGGAAACACTAAGACCGATCGGACCCCCCCCCGCTTTGAACTCGCTGGTCTTTCACGACTACGCGACGACTGCGTGCAACCCGTTCCCCGACCCGCAGCAGGACTCCCACGCTCACCTCGCAACCCGAAACGGCGCCGCCACGCGTGTCGGCGGCGTCCGCCCGGGCGGCCAAGTCACTACCTGTTGCCAGACGCCCCGGGCGTGGGTGGCCGTCCCCGCGAGTGCGCACTGCTTGCTGGGCCCCGGGCGGGGGCCCTGCCAGGAAGGCACGACGCCGCGGTGGCGGCGTCCGCCCGATGGGGCCCCTCGATGCAGAGGCGGGGCCATCCCATGCGCGGCCCACGCTGAGACCACCCAGGGTCTCAGGATACAGGAATTCCTCCAACTCCTCCTCCTCCTCCTCCTCCTGCTCCTCCTCCTCCTCCTCCTCCTCCTCGTCTTCTCCTTCCTCAAACCTCATTCATGCTTCCCTCTTCCCTCTTCCATGGTTCCCTGCCTCCTGCATCCCTCCTCTCTCCTGCCCCCAACCGCTGGGCCCGCCCGTGAACTTTCGCTGAATAGGTCCTTGAAGTACGGCTTGAGATCGGAAAGCGCGTACACCATCGGCGTCTTCCTTTGCCGAATAAGAACGGCACATTATCCTCATGACGCTCCTTCTCAAGATCTTTCATCGCATGCTAGTTCTCCTCCTCCAACCTATCCGCTCCTCTTGGAGGAAGAGGTCAGCGCCTTCCTCAACTCCTGCTCCTGCGAACAGCGCCGCCTTTCTCATTTCGCCACTCTCCGTCTTCAACGTCCTCCTCGCCGTCATCACCGTTGCCGACGTATTCGCGTTAGCCGTCGTCTTCGTTAACGTGGGCGACGGTAATGCCGTCGTCATCATCATCAACACCAGCTCCGACCTCCTCGTCCTCCTCCTCCTCCTCCTCCTCCTCCTCCTCCTCCTCCTCCTCCTCCTCTGCCTCCTCCTCCTCTTCGCCGTCATCACCGTTGCCGTCGTATCCGTATGAGTCGCCGTCGTCGTTGAAATCGTAATCGTCGTCGTCGTAATCGTCATCGTCACAGGCGTCGGCGTCGGCATCGTCTTCGATGCCGTCGTGAATCGTGACCATCATCAACATCAACATCACAACTACCGTCACCACCATACCATCACCCGTGGCCACGTTGGCCCAAGAGACAGTGATTCGGGCAGGCGCTGGGATGCCAGCCTCGTGTGGAGTCCGCAAGCTGTGCGGTGACAGACCGTGCGATGACCTCGAAATCCCAACAGAACTCACCACACGTTCCGTCACCGCACGGTTCTGGGACCCCAGAGATCCCAATCACCCGAGACTGCCTTGGAAAACGAAGCGAGTCACAAAATCGTGAGGTAACTCCGAACCCCCACTGAGTCACAAGTAATCACCGCACCGTTTGGGGCACCCAACCCCTCTCCTCCTCCTCCTCCTCCTCCTCCTCCTCCTCCTCCTCCTCATTCTTGTCTTCCTCGTCGACTCCTGTTCATCCTCCTCCTCCTCCTCCGCATAACGTTCCCCCTTCTCCAACTCCTTCGCACTCCACCGCTCCGACTCCTTCTCTGCTCAACGTCCTACTCATCATGACATTGACCATGACCATGCGATTAGCAATGGCCATGACAATGACCACCACCATCATTACTGATGATGCTCATGATCATGATCAGCATCATCATATTCATCATCAGCATCATCATGATCATCACCATAATCACCATCATCGCCCCATCACCACCAGAACCATCACCAACACCATCACCATCACCATCACCAGCATCATCATCATCATCATCATCTTCATCATCAGCAGCAGCAGCATTATCATCAGCAGCAACATCATTTCCTCATCCTCATCCGCATCCTCGTCATCATCATCATCGTCATCATCAGCAGCAGCAGCATCCTCATCAACCTTGTCATCATCACCATCATCACCATCATCCACCTCCTCAACCTCATCATCATTATGATCCACATCCCCATCATCATGAGCATTATCATCATCACCATCCTCATCTGCATCATCAACATCATCGTATATATATAGCATTATATATCATCCCCATCACCGCCAGCAGAGCGTCCTCATCCTCACCCCCATCTGCATCATCATCCCAATCATCGTCACCACCACCATCACCATCACCGTCATCATGCTAAGGAACATCATCATCATTGCCCTCATCCTCATCATCATTCCCATCATCATCCGCAATTCCTTTTCCTTAAAAAAAAACTTCTCCCTGTCGCACCCTGGGGCCCTTTTTCTGGCGGGCCGGGCGTTTCGTCTGAGACTTCCTCGTCACCCATGACTCTGAAACATAGAAAATGGGCGGTAGCTTCACAGATAGACGGCGGGTCGTCTTCAAAATGTTGCTCTCGCATTAGCGCCGCGCACATTCGTTTTCACAACCTACAAGAACTTCAGAATTGAGGATAACCCGTTTTCAACATGTTGCTCTCGCCTTAGCGCCGCGCACATTCGAGTTAACAAGTAACAAGAACTTCAGAATTGAGGATAACCCGTTTTCAAAATTTGGCTCTCGCCTAAGCGCCGCGCACATTCGTTTTTAAAAGTGTGCACGAGCTTCACGGTTTGAGGATAACCCGTTTTCGAAATTTGGCTCTCGCCTGAGCGCCGCGCACAGTCGTTCTCAAAATTTGCAAGAGCTTCACGGATCGAGGGCGGCTCCTTTTCAAAATCTGGCTCTCGCCGTAGCGCTGCGAACATTCGTTCATAAAATGAGCAAGAGTTTCACGGATTCCAACGATCAACGTACCAGAAATTGTGTTTCGGACGGATTCAGGATTTTGCGGGTGCAACATTTACGTTGGTTGACGGTGCTGAAATCCCAAGAATGGCTTTCTTGCACGATCCAAGGTCGTCAAGACGCAGCAGTCAGGTTGATCCGTGGCGCTTGAATCCCGAGAACAATGTTTTGGCATGCTTGCGGGTCTTCAAACGGTTATCTTCTAATGGGAATGAACCGTTGTAGGGGATGAGCCGTTGTAGGGGGCTATGAAGAGAGAGCTTGAGGGAGGGTGTATTCCAACATCGTTGATGGCTCTTGGGTTTACACTAGTCCTCATCCCCATCCTCCCCATCATCATGATCATGCTCATTCTCATCTTCTCATCCTCCTCCTCCTCATCATCGATTCGATTCGCATCCTCATCCCGATCCCGATCGTCATCCACATAATCATCATCATCATCATCATCATCACCAATGACATCAACATCACCAGCATTACCGTCATCATCAGCATCATCATTACCTTATCCTCATCACCCACCACCTAAACATCATCACCATCACCATCATCATCGGCATCAACATCATCATCATCATAATCATAATTTTGATCCGCAACCTCATCCCCTTCATCATCCTGCATGTCATCATCTTCAGCATCACCAAGATCATCACAATCACCAACATCAACATCAACATCACCATCATCATCACGATCAGCATCCTCATCCTCACCATCATCCTCATCGTCATATTTATCTCCGTCATCATCAGTCTCTCCATCCTCATCCTCATCCTTATCCTGCTCCTCCTCATCATCTCCAGCATTAAAAATACCATCCGCATGATCATCCTCTTCACCACCCTCCTCCTCATCCTCATCCTCATCCGTACCCGCATCAACATCATCACCATCATCATGGCCACCATCACCATTACCGTCCCCATCACCATCTTCACCATCGTCATCATCATGCTCGTCATCATCACCATCATCAGCATCCACCATCATCATCCATCATGACCAATATCATCTATGACCACCCATCATCCATCTCAACAGCAACATCCTCATCCATCATCACCATCGCCAAAATCCCAATCACCGTCACCATCACCATCATCCTCCTCATCCTCCTGCTCTTCTTCATCGTCATCATCATCCTCATCGTCATCAGCACCGTCACCATCACCATCACCATCACACTCACCATCACCATCACCATCACCATCAAGATCATCATCACCACCACCACCATCACAATCACCGCCATCATCATCATTGTCAGCATCATCAGTATCATCATCATCGACATCCTCATCATCAGCCTCTTCCTCATCATCGCCCTCCTCATCGTCATCCTCATTATCATCCTCCTCATCATCATCATGCTCATCCTCATCGTCATCATCACCGTCAGCATCCTCGTCCTCGTCCTCATGTTCATCATCAGCATCACCACCAACACCACTATCATCACCACCATCATGCATCAGCATCAGCAGTCTCATCCTCATATTAATCATCACCATCACCACCATTGCCATCACCATCATCATCATCATCATCATCGTCATCATCATCATCACAGTCACCATCAGCAGCAACATCATCAGCAGTACCACCAAGCATGATCATCATCCTTACCATCATCCGCATCATCAACATCATCATCCTCATTGTCATTCTGACCATAATCCTCATCCTCAACCTCATCGTCCTCGTCACCATTATCATCCTCATCCTCATCCCAATCCTCCTCACTAGCCTGCTCGTCCTCAGCATCCTCATCCTCATCATTGTCCGCATCCTCATCAACATCATCAACAGCATCATCATCATCATCATCATCATCATCATCATCATCATCGCCACCATAACCATCACCGTCACCATTACCATTCCCATCATCATCATCTCCATCATCATCATTACCACCACCACCTCCAGCATCCTCATCCTCAGCCTCATCCTCATCATCAGAATCCTCCTCATCCTCAATATCATCGTCACCACCACCATCATCGGCATCCTCATCACCATCATCAGCATCATCCTCCTCATCCTCAGCCGCAGCGTCAACATCATCCGTATCATCATCATCATCAGCATCATCATCATCAGCATCATCATCATCACCATCAGTATCATCATCATCATCATCATCATCATCATCATCATCATCATCAACATCACCATCATCAACAACAACATCATGATCATCATCCATCACCACCATCATCGCCGCCAGCACCAGCACCGCCACTATCACCATCATCATTATCAGCACCATCATCACCCTCGTCCTCCTCCTCCTCCCCATCATGATCACAATCCCACCAGCCCTTTGGGCGTGAGTGGTTTAGCGAGCTCTCTCTGTTCTCAACCCCCATTCTTCCCCTTCGGGGAGGGGTTTACCCCTCCCCCTACCCCCTCCCCCTGGGCATGGAGAGGTCCTTTCGCGGGTCGTCAGAGGGGTCAGTTTCGACTCCTGGGAGGGCTAAAAAACGACACCCCTCACGAGGATTCTGGCCCCGACGGGGGGGGGGGGCAGAAACGTGATCCCCTCTTCTTCGAAGCCAAACTCATTGATTTTACTACGGTTTTGGCACCATTTTGGCCTTCTGAGGGGGCAGCGCTAATTGAAGCTCCCCTCTTCTTTCAAGCCGAAATCATTGATTTTACTAAGGTTTTGGCCCCATTTTGGCCTTCTGAGGGGGCAGCGCTAATTAAAGCTCCCCTCTTCTTTGATCGAGTTCCTCCAAGATGGCCCCAAGAAGCGCCCAGGAGGCACCAAGAGGCCCCAAGCTGGCCCCAAGAGGCCCCCAGGAGGCCCCCAAGAGGATCCCAAACGGCCCAAAGAGGCCCCCCCGAGGCACCCAAGACGCCGAAAAGCCCATCAGGACGACCCTCTACTCGCCTGGGCGTCGTTTCTGGACGGGCAGGAGGAGGGGCCCGAACGACTCACACCAGGACGAGGGGCCCGAACAACTCACACCACGAGAAGCCCGAACGACTCACACCAGGACGAAGAGCCCGAACGACTCACACCACGAAGAGCCCGAACGACTCACACCAGGAAGAAGGGCCCGAACGACTCACACCAGGACGAGAAACCCGAACGACTCAAACCACGAGGAGCGCTTTCTCTCCCTCCTCCTCCGCCTCGTCCTTCTCCCGCTCCCACCACAAGGAGGATGTACAAGGAGGCGGGAGGAAGGAGGAACAGGGGAGATATGCGGGGGCAGGCGGAAACACGCCTGAAAAACACGACTGTCGGCATGCTTCGCAAGAGTTGCTGTTTTGAGATGGGCTGGTGGGGATACGCGAAGCGTAAAGAATTCTCATCATCATCATCATCATCGTCATCATCATCACCACCATCACCATCACCACCACCACAATCACCAGCACCATGGCCAGCACCATCATCTCCATCAGCATCATCATCTTCATCATCATCACATTCATCATCATCGTCATCCTCATCCTCATCATGATCATCCTGATCATCATCCTCACCCTCCTCCTCCGCATTGTCATCATCCTCACCGTCATCGTCATCATCACCACCACTAAGATCATCATCACCATCATAATTATAATCATCCTCATCCTCATCCTCCACATCATCATCAGCATCACCACCATGACCACCACCAAGCATGATCATCATCATTGCCATCATCCGCATCATCAACATCATCATCCTCATTGTCATTCTGACCATAATCCTCATCCTCAACCTCATCGTCCTCGTCACCATTATCATCCTCATCCTCATCCCAATCCTCCTCACTAGCCTGCTCGTCCTCAGCATCCTCATCCTCATCATTGTCCGCATCCTCATTATCATCATCAACAGCATCATCATCATCATCATCATCATCATCAAAATTATCCTCATCATCATCATCATCATCGCCACCATAACCATCACCGTCACCATTATCAATCCCATCATCATCATCTCCATCATCATCATTACCACCACCACCTTCATCATCCTCATCCTCAGCCTCATCCGCCTCATCATCAGAATCCTCCTCATCCTCATTATCATCATCACCACCACCATCATCGGCATCCTCATCACCATCATCAGCATCATCCTCCTCATCCTCAGCCGCAGCGTCAACAGCATCCTTATCATCATCATCATCATCATCAGCATCATCATCATCATCATCACCATCAGTATCATCAGTATCATCAGCATCATCAACATCACCATCATCAACAACAACATCATGATCATCATCCATCACCATCATCATCGCCGCCAGCACCAGCACCGTCACTATCACCATCATCATTATCAGCACCATCATCACCCTCGTCCTCCTCCTCCTCCCCATCATGATCACAATTCTCATCATCATCATCATCATCATCACCACCATCACCATCACCACCACCACAATCACCAGCACCATGGCCAGCACCATCATCTCCATCAGCATCATCATCTTCATCATCATCACATTCATCATCATCGTCATCCTCATCCTCATCATGATCATCCTGATCATCATCCTCACCCTCCTCCTCCTCATTGTCATCATCCTCACCGTCATCGTCATCATCACCACCACTAAGATCATCATCACCATCATAATTAGAATCATCCTCATCCTCATCCTCCACATCATCATCAGCATCACCACCATGACCACCACCAACACCATTATCGTCGTCGTCATCGTCATCATCATCATCAGCATCATCATCATCATCATCATCATCATCATCACCATCACCATCACCATCACCATCATCACCATCATCATCAGCATCATCATCGTCGCAGCCCTCCCCCTAATTACCCCGCAGACTCCTCCACGCCCTCCTCCACCTCCCCATCCTCTGCTCCCAGCCCCCCGCCCCGCCCGATCGAGCTCCCCTTTGCCCAGGCACGTGCGCCGCCTGCCAGGCATGCGCCAGGCGCACTGCAGGCCCGTGCACAGGAGCTGGTCGATGTCTCGGATCTCCTCGGGCCCGGCGCGTCCCGACGCGGCCGCTGCTGGCCCTCGGCACCAGCAGCAGCAGGCCACCGCGGAGCCAGTCACCACTGCCGGGAGATCAGCGTCTGGGCAAGGGCGCGGTGGCGCTGTGCCCGCGAGCGCGACTCCAAGCCATGTTCCTCCAAGGCTCCCGCCGCTGGTGCTCCTCCTCCTGCTCGCCGATGCCGCCTCCATCCTCCCTGCCAACCCCCCCCATCCCGTCCTCCTCCTCCTCCTCATCCTCCTCCTCCTCCTCCCCATCTCCTCTATCCTTCCCCCCTTTCCCCCGCTCCCGTTCCACCTGGTATGTCCTTGCTCCAAGCTAGCGGCACACGCGCGTGAGGCTGGAAAGACCTGATAGCAGCCGCAGGAACCCACCTGCCACTTACATTCCTACTGCTCCTCACCCTCATCCTTCCCCATCTGCCTCCCCTCCTCTGCCTCGTCCTAGTCTTCCTGCTCTGCTGCATCACACTCCCGCGCATACTCTTCCTATTCCCCCCTTCCTGCTCGTCAAACCCCTCCTCCTCTTCCCCATCCACCTCCTCCTCCTCACCTTCTCATCCTCATCGACTCCGTACCCTCCTGACACTGATCCTCGTAGTCCTCCCCTTGCTCCTCGTAGCGATTCTCCTCCTCCTCTCCCACTTCCCACTCCTCATTCCCATTCCCTTTCTGAATCGTATCCTACGCAAGAGGTCAACATTCGGTGACCACTCTGCGGATGAGGTGTGCTTGGTAGGGCGGCCAAGCGGTCTCCTCGATGCGCGCCCTTCGGCGGCCTCGGCGTCCTCTTCCACCCGCATCGCCCATTCGTCAGGTCTGACTCTACACAAGAATGGCGTGACTATTCCTAGCCCACGTCCTCACTCTTCCCTCCAACTCCGTCTCCTCGCCCTCCTTATCCTCCTCCTCCTCCTCCTCCTCCGTCTCCTCCTCCAGTGCTCATCCCCATCATCATCTAGTTATCATCATCTTTCTCCTCCACACCCCCTCCTCATCCTCCTCCACCTCATTATCCTCCCTCTCTTCCGTTGTCACAACCTGGGGGAAATCACTCCCACAGTCCCTGTGGTCGATTCTGCCCTTAGCATGGCGAGATGCTCGCACACGACACCGCAAGCCTTCCCAGAGAGCTTCTGTTACGAAGCTCAGACCCACTTGCTCTGGAAGCGGTGACTCCTCTCAGTCTGGCATCGAACATGCATCGCCGGGCCTGGGCGGAAGGCCTCGAAGTTCATAGGTCCAGGCCGCTTGTTGTGCTCTTGCATGTTTCGCCAAAGGAGCCTCAGTTTGACCAGTTGGCTTCATCGGTACGGCGGGAGAGTATTGCTTCTGGAGGCATTGTGGCTAAACATGTGGATATGGCATCGTGCAAGCTCCTCCTCGTCCAACACCGACAGCACCCTCCCGGCCGAGCGCGCGGTGACGACGTAGGCCTGAGCGACAGGGGGGGCCTAGCTGTCTGCACGGGTGTTGCTGTGATCGTTCCAATACTACTGGCGATGCACTGGAGGGCGCGAAAGTGACGCTTCGCCGAAGAACCGCAGAATGCATCGGACTGCTTTGGCACGATACGTCAGACTTGGCACCAGTAAGAAAAACAGACACACAGCAATGTTCTGCATTCGCGAAGGTAGTAGTCGCACCATAGTGCTTAATTCTGAAGGGCAATGATCGGGGTGATGGTGATGATGATGATGATGATGCTGATCATGATGATGATGATGATGATGATGATGATGATGATGATGCTGATGCTGATGATGATGCTGATGATGCTGACGATGCTGACGATGACGATGATGATGATGATGATGATGATGATGATGATGATGCTGATGCTGATGCTGATGCTGATGCTGATGCTGCTGATGATGATGATGATGATGGTGGTGCCGAGGATGATTACCATAGCCATGCGTATCCCTGGCAACGAGAAGGTGGCGAGCCCATACTGGCAGTGATGCATACGACCAGCACCACGATGACCAATACAATATTACAATATATCTGAGCCACGTGTCCTTTGACCAAACTTTGATCCAGCCTTGTGCGCATTTCAAGCCTGGAGCGCTCGCAGTGGGGCCAAGAAATTGGGCCAGCTTCCTGGAAGCCGCCAGACGCTGGGACAAATTGAAGCGGGGAGGTTTCGGCTGATACAGAAAACAAAGTGATAGGTTCAGTGAAAATGCTGCAGATTGTTCGACATGTCTCTTAGACTGCGAGCGCTGGACGCAAGAAGGCTGGGAGTGCCTGTGACCACCACACTGCGCGTGACCATCGCAGCAAAAGATGACAGCGGAGCGCGCACGCGCGCTGGGGAACTGGTACAGCAACAGACACGGCTGCAAGGCCCAGAAAGCACCACACAATCTATTCTCGCAGTAGCGCCAAAGAACACCTCACTACCTGTGCAAAGACAGAGGCATTCCCGCTTCCGCCAGAAGGGGACGCCAGTGCTGAACACCATGATGTGTGCAAGCGCCGCTCTTGGGGTACTGGCTACGTGGCCCTCAAAGCAGGCAGGCACAAAAGCAGCGGCATCAACAGCGGCTGGTAGTCTTCCTTCCAACCCTTCACATATCCCGGCGCCCATCACTTCCCTCCCTGGCCATGAGCACAGGAGATCGGCACTGTGTCCTAGAGGAGGGCGGGAAGAGAACGATGTTATACCAGTACACCTCCGACACCAGCTCGCCAGAAGCCAACTCACATTAAGTCGTGAGCCGAAGCCGACGGCATCTACCAAACACTGAGCACCATCTCAAATAATTGACCAACGTTGACGTTGTGCATGGACGCGCACATCATTCGCTCCGGCAACACCAACAGCTGTATTGCTACGACCCATGGCCATCATAATACTTCGTCCCCGTGACCACCGTTATCGTCGTCATCCCTATCGCTGTCCTCGTCACCACCAGAATCATCGTCGTCATCGTTTCCACCGTCAGCAGCAATAGCAGCATCGCCATTTCAGCATCAACCCTCGCGGTTTTGAATTATAAGTTATCCCAGTGCGACCCTACCTAGGAGTTGGAGCCCCTAGGAAAGCAGCATTAGTAGTAACAGTAAAGCTAAGCTAAAACTAAGCTACAGCTAAGCTACAGCTAAGCTCAAGCTAAGCTCAAGCTAAGCTAAAGCTAAGCTAAAGCTAAGCTAAAGCTAAGCTAAAGCTAAGCTAAAGCTAAGCTAAAGCTGAGCTACAGCTGAGCTACAGCTAAGCTAAAGCTAAGCTAAAGCTAAGCTAAAGTTAAAGCTAAAGCTAAAACTAAGCTGAAGCTAAGCTAAAGCTAAGCTAAAGCTAAGCTAACGCTAAGCTAACGCTAAGCTGAAGCTAAGCTAAAGCTAAGCCAACGCTAAGCAAAAGCTAAGCTCAAGCTAAGCTAAAGCTAAGCTAAAACTAGGCTAAAGCTAGGCTAAAGCTAAGCTAAAGCTAAGCTAAAGCTAAGCTAAAGCTAAGCTATAGCTAAGCAGAAGTTAAGCTAAAGCTAAGCTAAAGCTAAGCTAAAGCTAAGCTAAAGCTAAGCTAAAGCTAAAGCTAAAGCTACAGCTAAAGCTAACGCTAAAGCTAAAGCTCCCAGGGGACTGGGGGAACCGCGGGGCGGGGACTGGGGGAACCGCCCGGGGCGTGTAGCACTGCCCGGCCCCTTTAAGCTAACAGAGTAAGAACCCTTCTAGGCAGAGCCTAGGTAGGGAACAACAATCTCATCATCGCCACAAGCGTTACCATCATCGTCACCACCAGCATCATCAGCATCATCATCACCATCAGCATCAACATCATCATCATCATCATCATCAGCATCATCAACATCACCATCATTATCGTCAGTAGCATCAGTTTCATGATGATGATGGTCATCATCATCATCATCATCATCATCATCATCATCATCATCATCGTCATCATCATCACAGTCTTGATCATAATCACCATCAACACCAGCAGTAATATGATCGCCATCGGCATGGACATCGCCGTCATCATCGTCGCCATCAGAAGTCTCATCAGCACAATCATCGTAGTCAGTCATCATCATCAACCTGGCAACCGCACTCCTAACCAACACCAATATCAACATCACAATCATCATAATCATAATCACCCGAAGCTTCCCAGAGCCCTTCATATGTATCCAGGAGGCTCCTGACCAACTACGTAACTCGCACAGCCGTCGCAAGCTCGCACGCTTTTGCGGGTTCCATGGTCGTCGTCATTTACTTGTCTCGTCCTTTTGCTCCTCCTCCTCCTCCCCCTCCTCCTCCTCTCCCTCCTACTCCCCTTCCTCGTTCTCGTCCCTCCCTGCCCCTCCGGTCACGGCAACACCAGATCGAGTGTCCTACGCCATCTCAGGCGCACCCTCGTTGTCGTCGTCCTCCCCCTCCTCCTCCTCCTCCTCCTCCTCCTCCTCCTCCTCCTCCTCCTCCTCCTCCTCCTCCTCTTCCCCCATTGTCCTCTTCGTACATTCGTCGTCTTTGTCGTCCTCATCTCCTCACTCCCCCGCCCTACCCTCCTCGTCCCGCGTCGCGAATGCAACATTCACGGAATCCGCCGCCATGACAAGAAGGGTTCCGCCAACGTCGTTCAACATGCGTGGCTCGTCCCGCGTCGCCAATGCACCTCTTGGAAATGCCTTTGCCATCACAGCAACATCATCCGCCAACGTCGTTCTTCATGTGCGACAGGAAATCGTTCCCCGAGAGACTACCGAACGGATCACCTGGTCTCCTGTGGGTCGCCGGAAAGGCGTAAGCCAATTGAACCACTATAGCCAATATCAGGTAACTTATCATCATTATGCATCATCATCACCACCAGCATCATCAGCACCATCATCTGCATCATCACCAACATCAGCAGCAACACCATTATCATTACCACTCGCATTAGCACCATCACCAGCAGCATCATCATCGACATCACCATCAGTTTCCTCAACATGCGCATCACAATCAGCATCACCAGACTAATAATCCCAGTCATAGCCATGATCATTACCATAGCCAGACTCGCAATACCCTTGAGCATCCACATCATCACACTCATAGTCAGGATCCTCATCGACATCCGCAACAACAATTTCAAAATCGGTATGATCGTCGTCGTCCTTCACTTGTCAGCTTCATCATTGGCATGAATCCAGTCATCATAGTGGGTATGACCATCGTCGCAATCGCAATGCTAACCATGATCATTTCCACAACCATGGCCGCCATACTGAAAATTAACACCATCGGCACCAGCGTCACCATCGTCGTCACAGCCATCAGCATGATCAACATCGGCGTCATCAACATCATGATCGTCATCGGCATGATCGCCACCGCCATCACCATCATCATCAATCAACATCACGATTATCATCATTACACGTAAGATCATATTGCTCCTATGTATCATAGTCATCATCACCATCATCGTAATCACATCCATCGCTGTGAACATCAGCATAACCATACTCGCCTCAAGCAGCATGATTATAGTCGACATCCTCATCATCAGCGACGCTAGCAACATCATTATCGCCATCGGCATGGCAATCGTCGTCATGCTCATCTGCATGATCAGTATCGCCACAATCATCATAGTCATCACCACCAGCATTGACATCACACACAAACCACGATCGTCATCAGAACCATACTCGTCATAAACATGTTCATTGTCATTGACCACACCAATATCCAACTCATAACCATTTTCATCGGCATTAACTCCAGATGTACCGTCATCGGCATGAGCATCGTCGCCACCATCACCATCAGCATCGCCTTCATCAGCATACTCATCATAGCCATCATCAGCATCGTCGCAATCAGAGTCATGAAAACGATCAATGCCAATATGCGCCATCAATTGTATCACCACCATCAACAACCGTATCGTTATCATACGCATGGCCATCATCGGCATCAACAACATAATGATGGTTGCCGGCATGAGCATCGTCGTCATCATCAGCACTATCAGCACCACCAGAAGTACCATCCCTTCCATAGAATCATAGTCATCATCACTATCAGAACTACGATCATCATCACGATCATCATCGCCATACTCGGAGAACGAGAGCCCGGGGGAGAGGAGGGCAGTGGGACATGGGAAGCATACAATCGGCGGCGAGCGAGGGGGGAAGTGAGAAGGAGAAGGTCTCCTCAGAAGGTCCGGAAGTCCTCCAGCCTTCTGAGAAGTCCCACCAGCCCTCTGGGCGTAGGTGGTCTAGAGCAGATCCTCTTCCACCCCTCCCTCTTCCCCCTTGGGGAGGGGTTTACCCCTCCCCCTACCCCCTCCCCTGGACCTGGACGGGGGGGGCCGCGGGTAGTTAGAGCGTCCAAGATGGCCCAAGACGGCTCCAAGAGCGCCTCAGAGAACCCAAGATGAGCTCCAAGATGGCTCAAGATAGCGCAAGATCGCTCACGATGGCTCCTAAGATGGTTCCAAGAAGCCCAAAGACGGCCCCAAGATAACTCCAAGTGGCCAAACAGCTCCCCAAGGAGGCCCCGAAGAGGCCAAAATCGTCCCAAAACCTAAGGAAAATCAATGATTTTTGCTTTCTCGCCTTTTCGCTTCCGATGGCCATCCGAGGCCTGGAGATGGCTCCAAGATGGCCCAAGAGGGCCCCAAGAGAGCCCCAAAAGAGCCCCAAGACGGCCCCAAGAGCGCCCAAGAGCACTCCAAGAGCGTTCCAAGAGGGGTCCAAGAGGCGATTTTAGGGGCTTCCGAGGGGGGGCGCTAATTAAACCCCCCCTCTTGTTTGATCGACTCCCTCCAAGATGGCCCCAAAAGCGCCCCGAAGGCTCCCCAGAGCGCCTCAAGAGGGTCCCAAGAGGCGCCCAAGATGCCCCAAGGCGCCCAAAAAGCCCTCCAAGAGGCCCTCAAAAGACCCCCAAGAAGCTCCTTCCCCTCCTCCTCCTCCTCCTCCGATTCTTCCTCCTTCTCCGTCCTCCTCCTCCTCCTCCTCCTCCTCCCCTCCTCCCTCCTCCTCCTCCTCCGACGACGACGACGACGACGACGACTCCTCTTCCATCCTCCCCCTCTCGGGGTCTGTGACAGCTTCCCCCGCCCTTTGTTATTCTGCATGCTCCCCGACTTCCCTGATCACCTGAACTCCCCTGAGCATCGTTTCTGGATGGGCTGGTGGGGATACGCGAAGCGTCAACAATTTTCCAAGCCTTCCCCGAAGACAGGCACAACTGCTCAGAAGGCGCCAGGGCTTCTGAGAAGTCCCGCCGCCTTCAGAGAAGGCCGTCTCCTTCCCATTTCCTCCCCTCGCTCGCCGCCGATACAAGGGGACGAACAGGCGGGGGCAGCGGAAGGCCAAGGCGACGAGAAGGGATGGGAAGAAACATCCTCTTCATCACACCCCGCTTCATTCTCCTCGGCCCTTGCAGTCCTCATCCTCCCTCCCCCTCCTCCTCGTTCCCCTAGATCAGTGCCCTCCTTCTCCTCCTGCTCGTCATCTTCCGCACCCCACTCTCGCCTCCTCCCGTCGCCTCTTCCTGCCGCCTTCTCTTCCACCCGTCGCTCCCTCCTCCACCTCTTCCCCATCTTCTCCCTCATATCCACATCGTTCATTTCTAATCGTGCTCATTTCTAATTCTGCTCGTTTCTAATTGTTCCTGGCCCCCTAGCAACCAGGAAGACGCCCAGGATAGAACACTTAGACATGAAAAGGATCTTGGCCCCCTAAAAGATCAAAGAACTTCCGAAGAATTGGACATGAACAACGTGTCCTCTTAATGTTCCTCCCTCCTCTCTCCCCTACGCCACCTCCCCCTGCTCCTCCCGCTCCTCGAAACACACGAGGATCCGTTCGAGGGGGCGGGGGCCTGCGTGCCAGCGTAGTTGTGGCTGCAGCCCATGACCTTGCTCTTGCCGCCGGCCAGCCTGGCGACTGCGCCCCCCACCCTCCCCCAAACTGGGGAAACCAAAAGGTACCGATGCTTGCCGTCGCTCGGGCGTCCACGTCCCGTGCATTTTTCGGCTTCGTGCGTGCTTTTTGTTGCTCGATGGTCCAGGATGGTCCTCGATGGTTCTCGCGGGGAAAAAACGCACACGTCCGAGCGATGCCAAGCGATATTGCTACTCCCCAGACCTCTCCTGGGGTGCGTTCGGACCAGGATTTCGAGGCGAATCCAGCGGTGGCGACGAGGGCCTCCCAGACGGGCGAAGTAGGGGACAGCGGGCGAAGGGTAGCGGTAGCGGTGCATTTGCATCCTCCGACCAATTGGGCCAACCTCCTCCTCCTCCTTCACCGTCCGTCTGTCTTGGTCATGCTCTCCATGTTCTGTATGTTTCTCTTCCCCTCCCGCCTTCTGCTCCTCATCCGCCTCAGTCTTCACTCCCATTTGTTCGCCTCCCTTCTTTTACGCCTGCATACTCCTTTTGCTCCTACTCCTCCGCCTCCTCCCCAGGTGGCAGCCCACCTGCGTGCCTGGGTTGAGTTGTCAATTCGAAGAGATGTTGCTAATTTCGTTCTCTCCTCCCCTTTCCTGCTACTCCCCCCTTCCCGCTCGCAGACGCTGGAGGATGCGGCGCAGGCCTCGCGAGGTACACGCCCTTCGCCACCTCGTCGCAGGGCCACTCCGAGCCCCAATACCCGATCTTCAGCACGTCCCAGCCGTCCTCAGAGGGTCTCCCCATTCCTCTCCCCCTTGCCCTCTCACACCTCCGCTTCCACATCCTCCCCCCTTCCCCACGCACTTCCTCTGCCCTCCTCCCCGCTTGCCCACTCCCGTCGTCCCCATTCCTCCCCGTCTTTTCCTTCCCTCCTCCCCACCTTAACCTCTTCCCTCCCTCCCCCTCCACCACCTCCCCCTAGGCTTCTCCCACTCCCCCATTACCCCCTGTGATCCTCCCGTCCTCCACCCTCCTCCTCCGCCTTCCTTCCTCCTCTCCCTGCGCCCCCATCCCACCCCAAACCCCCGATCTTCGGCGTGTCCCAGCCGTCCGGCACGGACGGCCACACCGCCTCCAAGCGCTCGTGCCAACCCTCCAGGGCAGCAGGAGGAGGGATGGAAAGGAGGCAGAGGGGCAAGCTAGGTCGCGCTCGCGCCGCATCTGACATCATATCCGTCCAGCTCTCCCTCCCCATTGCGCTGATTTCGTGTTTGTCCGTCGACGGGTGTCCAAGCGGATGAGCAGAAGGAACATGAGGATGAGAAGGAGCAGGCGGAAGAGACACAGCAGGAGAGGCGGAAGGAGCTGGGTGACAAGGGGAAGGCGGAGGAGGGGAAAGGAGGGGAGCGACAACGACAGGAAGGGGGTTGGCTCCAGAAGCGCGGCCCGCGCCAGGGGCGAGCGCGCCACTCCTAGCGACGGGAGGGGCACCGCGCCGATCCAGAAACGGGGCCAACTCTGCACCGGGAACACCTTTCGCGAAGAGGCTCGACAGGAGAGCACGCACGACCGCATACACACGCGCACAAAGAAAGTACAGCTCGGAGAGAGGCGGCGCCGCGCTCGGGCAGCATGCGCGGAGAGAGGGGACTCGTGCCCGCATCGAGCAAGCGAAGAGCGGCGGCACGGGCCCGGGGAAGGAGGGACGGGCGAGGCGAGCGACCAGGGGCCAGATTGGGGGCAGGACGGCGCGCACCCGTGTCGAGCAGCCGAGGAGCGGCGACCAGGGCCCAGGGGAGGGGCGAGGGGGACCGAGATGGGGCAGGGGTGAGAGGTCCTGGGTGCAACGGCGGGAGGGGCAGGATGCGGGCACCATGGATCAGAAGAGCTGGCGCGTCAGAGCCAGCACGGGGCTAGACCATGCGCATCCCTCCTCAGCCGCCTCCCTCCTGGCAGCGTTTCCGCCCTCCTTTTCGTCCTCAACCCCCCTCCTCCTCCTCCTCCTCCTCCTCCTCCTCCTCCTCCTCCTCCTCCTCCTCCTCCTCCTCCTCCTCCTCGGGACCATGCTGATAATGAGACAAACGGCACAACGCCTTGCACAACAGTCCCAAGTCACTGCCGCTGTTCTGCTTACTCCTGATCCTCCTCCTCCTCTGCCACCTCATTTCTCCCCTGCTACACCTCATGCTACATCTATCCAACTTGTTTGTCGTTATCCTGCTCCTCCTCTTCCTTTAGGTCCTGTGTCTCCTCCTGCTGTCGCTGGGGGCTGCTGATACCAAAACGGGGCTCCTTCTATGCTCCCTACTCATCCACACGCCAGCCTTCTTGACGTTGACATCGTCTTCCATCACGACGTAGATGGCGTCTGGGTGTGTGGCCGTCTCGTTGATGTGCCTCCGACGCCAAACATGACCGTCAAAGGAGCGGCGTCGCACAAGAAAGAGGCAGCGGAGGAGAAATCCTGGGCAAAGAGAAGAGGGGGTACGGAATAGGACAAGATGGGCGCTTTCGTCCAGAAATGGAGCCCCGAACGACGGAAGCAAACTGCCGATCTGGCAATGGGGCCAATGCTGCAGCAATAATCAAACACAGGCGCTCCCGACAAAAACACAGCATACGGAACCTAACGAAACACACATGTTGAATTCAGATGCGAACGGCCCACTCGGACAGAACCTGGGAGAGGAGCGCATTATTCGTATTGAAGAGCTGCAGACGGCGAAAGGGGCCCTGGAATAGTATAACACGTTGGAACACGACTGCGTGACAGGAGGACTCTCCCCTCGCTGCCTGCGAAGACGCAACAACACGGGACGCTCACTCGGGCGATCGCCTGGGAAACGAGCGATGGGCAACGGAGGAGTGAGCGAAGATGCATCGTGCGAGTCCCGAACTAAGCGGATCGCTCTGCTTCAAGCAACCTCTCCTGCACTCCCCCCCCTCATCATCATTATTGTCCTTCCCCCCTCCTCCTCCCCTCCTCCTCCTCCTCCTCCTCCTCCTCCTCGTCCTGCTCCTCCTCCCCTGTGGCTCCGGATCCTCCTCCTCCTCCTCCTCCTCCTCCTCCTCCTCCTCCTCTGCACGCGCCTGAGCAGCATTCTGTGGGACATGTAGCAGCCCACCATGCCAGGGAAGCGAGACGAGCCATTGCCAGTACCGTTCGTCATCGCGCTGTAGAACCAGGCGGATACGTTCCTGGCCTTCGTGGTGGGCGGCGCAATGAGGAGAAGGATGGAGAGGGGTAGACGGAGGAGGAGGAGGAGGAGGAGGAGAAGGAGGAGGAGAAGGAGGAGACAGCAACGAGAAGCACGGAGGAAAAGGGAGTACGGCGCGATGGGGGAGGAGGGAACAGGATATGGGGAGACGGATGGGGTATGGAGGAGGTAAGCAGGTTGTGGACGATAAAGAAGGAGGAGCAGCAGGAGCATGGAGGAGGAAGGATGTAGTAAAAAGGGGTGTGGTAGAAGGGAGAGGGTAAGAGGGCGAAGCAGGGAGAATGAGGAGGGATGCAAGAGGTGACTGGGGGAGGGAGGCAGCGGCACTCGATGAGCAGGAGGAGGGAAAGAGGAGGGAGGGGCGAGGGACAAGCGAAAGAGAAACAGCGAGGAGGAGAGGATAAAAAATGAACCTTGTCTGGGCGAGCCGCGCGAGGCTGGGCGCCCCTGGGCGCCGCCGTCGCCAGGAGAAGGGAGAGGAAGATCCCGCGAGCAGGGGCCGTCCCCTCTCGCCCTCACCCCGACCTGCTCCTCGACGCCCGCTCTGCACGAGATGGGACCTCACTTCGCGCGTGCCGAGCTCGAGCGCAGGAGAAAAGAGAGTAGGGAGAGACGGCGTGATCGTGGAACGGAGGAGGAGAGACCTTAATCGGGAGCGGCCAAGAGGGGGGTGTCCAAGAGGGGGGGGTGCAAATCATGACCGGCGGCATGTGCGCGGCCCAGCGGGGGGGCCGGGGACGTAATGAATCAAGAAGAGGCGCCCTGAGATCTGGAAAGACATCATGGCCCCCGCCATGATATCCACCCCCCCCTAGTCATCACCCCCCTCTTTTCCGCCCCCGATTTAAGCAGGAAAAGGAGGAGGAGGGGGAGGAGGCGTGAACACCGGGGCATCAGGGAGGGGGAGGGAACAGGTGGAGCGGGATGAAAGGGGGAAGGGATGGGGACTGGGGGACGGGAGCAGAACAAGCGGAGGAGGGACATGAAGGAGAATAAACAGGCGTTGCCTTCGCTAGCTCGTGGGTGAACACGCGCTGGAGCACCCGATCGCGCCCGCGCATGTCCCCCGTCGGGGTCCCAGCTCAGCAATGCCCCCCCAGGCAGGATGACATCGGCCATGGAGACAGTGGACCCCAACATGCGCGAGATGCAGCCAGCCATAAATCGGGCGCACATGCATCCTTAAGTCGGTCGGCGGGAACCGCCTGGATTCGTTCGAACTCGGCTCAAGGAATGGACGTCGCACCGCTGGTCGAGAATCTGGCTGCTGCGCCGTCGCTCTTCAGCAGAACGGTGTGACCGCTACCTGCAGCGAGCTGTCTGTACGTCAAGCCTGCGCCCAACGCCTGAACGTCGCACTAAACATCCACATTGCGGGCGAACGTCGAGGCTGACCCGATGCTCCTCAACAGCACCGCGAAACAGGAACATGCAGCGACCTGCGTGTAGGTGGCGCCTCGAACCAATGCTGGGACATCGTGCTGCTCTTCGGCGTTTCGGCCGCAGGCCAACGCGGCGCCGCTCCTCATCAGTATGGCGTTAGCGTCACATGCAGCGACCTGCGTGCAGATGGCCCCTTCACCCAACGGCGGACGCCACACTGTCCAAGGAGATTCTGGCCTCAGGCCAGGGCAGCGCCGTCACTCCTCAGCAGCACGGTGTGTTCGAAACCCGCAGCGACCTGCGTGTAAGTCAGGCCCCAATCCGACGCTGCGACGACGCACTGCCCAAGCCCAAAGGAGTTCTGACCGCACTTTGCTGCTAAATCGTTCCTGAGCAGCACTGCGTGACCACCACCTGCAGCGACAAGCGCGTTTGTCAGGCTCCTACCCAGTGCTGGGACTTCGCACTGCCCGCCTTCACTCTGGCCGACGGGCTCGATTGTCCATTCATTTCTGAGCAGTGCGGTGTGAGAAAAAATGCAGCAACCGTCCTACGGCCATTGGAAAAAAGGGGCAGAACGACGATAATAAGGACAAAGGCAAAACAGGGCGAGAGAGGAATGGCGAGGAGGGAGGAGGAACGCGCACATGCGTCTGAAAAGCTACCAGCAATTATGCGGATGCTACGGCAATTGCATTCGGACCGCAGCCCTCGCCGCAACGCCGCGCACCTTCGTCGTAAAAAAAGTCAAACAGCTGCATAGGTGAAGGGCGGCCCCTGTTCGACATAGGGTTCTCGCCTGAGGCTCCCGCAGCGAACACTGCCAGACGGTCAAGGTTGCGCGACAATTGTACGGATGAAAGGCGGTTCCAGTTTTTCAAACGGTGATATCATTTGACGAACCCTCCTCCGCTGTTGTAGACAAGCGTGGAAAACGGCGCAGTAGCTACACGGAAGGAAAGGGGGCTTTCCCGAACGTCAGATGCTACTACACATCTCCTGAGCACAGTGGCCCGGCTTCTTGGCATCTCGTAGTTGGATTGATGTTAAGTATGATGATGCGTTCCAGCACTGGGGGCCTCGCCCGAGTGGCAAGCCCGTGGACGGCTCGCGCGTCAAGGGGGCGGCTCCCGTAGTTTGGAAGCGAGCGGGCGGAGGAGTTCCTGCGGAGGGGGCGTGGGACGGGGCGGTGTGTTGAGGCAT